AGAATCATTCTATCAGCCCGGCAGGATCAGAGGAGCCGCCAACATGGACACTCTGGAGGAGCTACAGAAATCCTGCAGCTCAAAAACGGATCTAAGCTGCACTTTCTACAGGACGGTGGTCTGGGATCAACAGTCTGCAGCTGAAGGGCTGGTGGTTTGAAACCGGCTCTAAACGTCTCAGACAGCGTGTCCTTGGGCAAGGCCATGGACACTGTCCTTTTGCTGGACCCATGTAGGCCAGCAGAAGGACCCTGAACTTTAGCAGGATGTACCATGGATGATTAGACCTGGAAACGGACGTTTCCATGCGGAGTCTGACTGGGCTGAGACTAAGCCTGAGTCCTGCTCTGAAGTCCTGAAGGTTCCAGAGAAGTTCTGGTTCTGGATTCAGAAGAAAGCAGCGTTTAGAAAGTGGATCCTGTTCTGCTCAGCTTCTCCTCTGGAAAACAACAGAGTCTCTCCTGAAGACAAGCAGGAAGCAGAGTCTAGTCTGGAGCTGCAGGTCGGGTCCTGAAGGATTCAGGACTGGACTTCTGGACTCGTTATCTGCCACATGGTGCAACCAGCTTCTACACTGTCAGGATCTATGAATGATCTCTGGTTCCTTCCCAGTGTTCCCAGTACATCCCCTCCTATTTCCAACCACTAAACCCTGATTACCTGACCGGGACGGGCCTTCAGCAGACTGGGATCAATGGTATTGACCAGCAGTCCCAGTCTGCCTCTAACTGGTGCTGCTGGGCTCCTCGCCTCTCTGGTTTAATGAGGATAAATGAAAGAAAAAAAAAACTGATTTGACCTTAATAGCAAACAGGCGGAGAAACGAGAGCTGCTGATTGGACGCCATCAATCATTCATGGAGACGCCTGATCCTCACAGCGACAGTGGAGAGGAAAAACCCTCCTTCTAACCGATCTCTTGCTAACTGCTGGCAGAGATTGTGGATTACATCCCTGGACCCAACAGAACCGGGTCAGAATAGAACCCAATCAGATGGTTCCTGGGTTTGATGATCTGAAAGAATCCCAGAAAGATCCTCCTCTTTCTGTTCGGGTTTAATACAGAAACCAGAACCAGGATCTGATCCCAGTCAGAACCATCAGTCAGTCCATAATACCAGAACCACCACAACCAGCAGAACCACCAGAACCAGCAGAACCACCAGAACCAG